CACGACGAATAGTCGATAATCGGTAATCGTAGAAAATAAATCAGTGGATGTGTTTTAAGCGAGGATCGAATGCCTCCGTTTCCTGTGGAGGAGACTATATGATAATATAATGATGATGATGATGATGATTATGATTATTATTATTATTATTATTATTATTATTATTATTATTATTATTGTACGTGAGATTTTTGTTTTGAGAAAGGATTTGGTCTAGGTATTTAATGTACTTAAAATGTAACAGACACTGTGATAGCCAGTGCTTACTATAATTGAAATATCATAAAAAAACAAGCTTTCTGCAATACATATATACATCTTGTATTAAGTTTGCAATTATGTCATTTGTATGTTAAATTCCACTGGTGCATTTAAACCGCTTGACGTTATAACGTAATCTCTGAATTATTGTTGAGAAACGTTTGAAAGTAGATTTATAAACTATCTTGTTACGTGTATGGAATTGGAAACAGTTAATAAGTCTATTTACAAAAGCAATGTATAGGAGTAGGTTGCGTGGACACGTTAATAAATTGCTTCTAGTCTAGAAGACGTGTTACAGCAATTTTTAGATAGTAAGATTTAAGTTACATCGATCATTCTAAATTTAGTGCCAATTTGTTTATAAAGTATCTACGTGTACTTTACGTTATATAGAGAATGTTAATAAAGTGACGATATTTCAGAAATGTTATGGACATACTCAGTGAGAAATATAATGAAACACTCGTCTGTATTTTATAATTAAATAGAATTTATTGTAAAAAGTATATATAGAATGCATAAAATATAATTGTNCATCAATAAAATGCAAAATAATCCTATGTAACTCATTAAATATCGAAATTAGAAGATAAATTCACTATTTTTAATTACCGGAAATGCATTATTTCTAAGATACATAAACTTTTGGGATTGACCGTATAGCCAATACATCCTTAAGTTTCACATTTAGACTATCATCGACTCACTTGTCATCACCAACTATAAGAAATGGCAGCTTCTCATTGAACCGAAGTTTAGTCAATTTATTTCGTTTCCTACTAACGACCTGCTGACTACATATAGGCCTGTATTTATTTATATTCAAATCGAAAACCGTGACTTTCCCATCATTTGAGACACAGGCTAACACTGTGGAACTATACGGCGCCCATTGAACGTCTCCGATTGGCACTCCAAGATCGAACATGAACAACGGTTCCCTAAATTAACAAAGAACATTAATAAAAGTCAATATTCATTTTAAAAAAAAAATTATAGCGAACTGACATTCTGTCATCCTCCCATATTTTTATTCGCCAGTCGCCTGAGCAGCTTGCGAATATACTGGAGTTAAATTTATTAAACACTATACGATATATCGGCATGTTGTGCGCCTCGTTGTATGTCCTCATGTAGACACTGCTGTACGCCGTGTTGCATTTGTAAATCGTCCCTTCCTCAGTGCCAACTAGGAACACGTTCTCATCCGCAGGATGAAATGCCAGACATGTCCCACAGCCTATTAGAATGAAATGTAATAAAATATATAAGAGGATCTATTAATGATGTAGAGGCTGTTTCAGAAAATGTCCATTTTGAGGATGACTTCTGTATAATTTCTGAAACTCCTTGTATAACATTGATTGTTCTCTTCTAAACCTGCAGTCTAATCATTATTATACAAGGTTTTTTAGAAATGATGCAGTTTAATAAGAATAGACTATGTAATCCTGCCTTTGAGGGTAATTACAGTCCCATCAGGCCCAGGTATGGGGGGTCTGTCTAAATAGAGAGTCATCACAGTCGTGAGGCCCAGATCATTCTGATTTAGAATCCAATAGTTTATCCTCCCATCGATGCTGACACTATAGAAAGCCAGGTGACCTTCTTCTGTGTCTGGTGCCCAACGTACCTTCAAAACGCAATCACTGATTCAATATAGAACTTGTATATATGTGTAATTGTTTCTCGATTGTGAAGGAACAAACCTCCCATACAATACCTCCATGTTTTTGAATAACGTCGTCGCTTTTGTACTGAGGCGAGTTAGGTGGTAGCATAATGTTGTAAACGCAAACTGCACCGTCCATCGAGCCTAGATTAGGGCAAAGGTCAACTGTAATGCTGCACCAATGCAACTATAGTATTGCAATAATGGTGTTTGGTTTTATTACCGACGACTAGAAGGTGCGGGTGTTGTTTGCTGAAGTCTAAGCACATAACTGGTGTATCTGTTGGGCATATCCATTCAGGGTATGATGGATTCTTCAGAGTAAATAGGCAGATCGCTCCGTCAGTTATCATGCTAGAAAACGACACTAAAACGTAATATAAAAAGCATGATCAAAACGGAATAATAGAATATTAATAGGATTCATATGCAGGATGGGACAATAATTGTTTCCACCTTGAATATTCCTTATTTATAATGAAAACTGTTTTACTGACTCGTGCCATAGGCGACTGCGAACAAGTCGTAGTATCTGCTATTGAAACACAAATCAGTGACGTCGTGTTTTTTGGTTTTCTCATAACTGAACTTCCACAGGGGTAACAATGAGCCTTCGCCCTCTTTGAATTCATCGCTAGGGTCGTCCCAGTATCTATAATCTATGAATATTAACATAAGTTCTCGTTGAATCGAATTTTTAATTAATAGAAAGTACCTTGGGCTATTTCGTCGTATATGTTTTGGTTCACCATTCGTTCCAACGTTTTCGCAGCTTGTAACATCCTGCATGACAAAGCCTCGGACTCTGTCTGTGCTTTCCTCTTCAGGTCTTCTCGTTTTGGTTGTAGCAATGGTATTCTTCTCTCTTTTTCTTTCTCTTTTTGCTGCTGAGCGTAATCTTCCTAAAATGATTACATAGTTTTCATTTAACACTAAATGTATTGACATATGTAAAGTAATGAAAATATATACTTGGTACTCGTCGAATATAGTCCATTGTAAAACGTGAGTGTTGAAGGTGTCAGTTGGGGGTGGCACTGTCTGGGTGCTCATTTCCTATCAATTATTATATAATTAGAAATTATATATGTACTTTTATATATCTGTTTAGTATCTATTTTAAATTGTTTCGTATTTACTCGCATGGGATTGGTGTAAGTTAACGCAGCCCTTTCGCAGAAGTTGAATTGATTCGGTATCTTCTTTGGTTTCACTTTCTCTTCCTCTTCGTCGTGATCAGGCTCTTGCTCTGCTTCCTTCTGTTCTTCATCTTCGATTTCTATCAAATTTA